CTTAGAATGAAACCATTCTGACGCACGTCCTTTCAACCTTGTACCGATCATAATTTTCGTGAGATTGTCATTAAGACTGTATGCGATTCTGAGGAATCTCACTTGCTTTTCCCATGTTTCAAAAGTTTCCGCGTTTCCATTAAAATAACTCAGTAAATCCGCCACAGAATTCACATTCACCTTCGACGATTGCGTTGCATTCCATCGTTGTCCATAGTTGAACTTTGATTCTCATCTGAATCACGTGTTTGATTGTTTACAACGTTCTCTGTTGTCCCGTGTGTACTCGTGTCTTGCAAGTCCGCACGCTGCATACGACGTAGCAGCTCGATCTCGCGTCGTGCTAAGGCGAGCTCGCGCTCGGCAAATTCTTTTTCTCGTTTATAAATTTCGATCTCTCGACTGGAACCCAATTGTCTCGTGTATCGTTCGAGTTCTTCTCTGTAACATCGTGTTCCTTCGTCGTCAGGAGTTAACAGATTACTACCTCCACCAACAGCACCATCACCGTCTTTGTCTTTTTCGTTCATCGCGTCTTTGTTTTTCCCCCTGAATGTTTTTAACCACTGTCCACTCGGATCGTCGTTTATTAACCGTTTTATAAGATCGATTTTCAATCCAACCGTGCTCAGCCCTTTTCGTTTCAAAATATCTTTCAACTCAAGCACAGCAAAACTCTTTGTATCGATCTCATCCATCGAGCATTGCTTCGCGTATCGTTCGTCGTTCACGTCCGCGCGTTGTTTATGTTCGTGCGTCGTTCGCGCTCGTGCGTTGGTCCGTATATATCAGGTCACACTGTTCCTTCTGGTCCGTCGTTACACTCGTCGTTGACAAAGCGCTCTTTTTCCCCGTCTGAGATATACTTCGTCTTGATTTTTGTTCTGCGTAATATACGCACGTCTTTTTTTTTCCACTAAACTTCTCGAAACTTCTTACTCGATCGGTTCCCGACCTCTTTGTTCGTCGTTCGTCGTACTTCGTTCGTTAGCCGTCACGCGTTGCCTTTTTTTTCTTTGTCGTCTTTCGTTCGTCGTTCGTCGTTTATTGTTCACTTTTCACTCGCACTACCTCTCAGTATCCCCGACGAGCCCCCAAAAGTTGTGGTATTCTTATTCTCATATGGCTGGGTCTGGGAGGCAATACACTGGGGAAAAGATTTAGAACAATTTATTCAATACTGCACGTCTTACACTGTTGCTCGTACTCTTGCACGCATTGCACTACTGCGTGGCGCTGCCCTCCGTCGGTGGCCTCGCTAGCTCACTCCCTGACCGCCACCTACTTACACTAGCCACGAAACGCTACGCACCCTACATATATGTATACGAATAGTGCTTGTTATCACTTCTAAATGAAGCTACATATACAAATTGGGCAGATATTTCAGTGCATAAAAGTGTCACTCTCCTCATTTCGAGCTTCTTGACAATCGTAGGTTCAATTTCCATTCACGGCTGCATAGATGGAAAACGCACCTATTTATTTTTGAATGTTGTTTTAATCATACCGTTTTACGCTAATGTCAGTTACATTTGTCATATATTTCAATGAATATCAAAACAGTCTAAATAATTTTCTCTGTCAGTAGTACATGTCCACGTGGATAGTCAGAAATTGGCATAAACAACTATTTGTCACTTAGATAGTTTAATATAACTAATGGGGAGATGGGTTATGCATTACGTTTCTAGTCGGTCGCTAGCTAGTATTCCTTGTTACGGTGTAGACAGAAATAGAGAAAAGTAGCTTTTATCAGGGTAGGGCCGATGTACAATTTATAATAAAAAGTATGCGTTAATTTTCATATACATTCTAACGTATTTCCTTAACTTCACCCGACACCGATAGCAAGACATACGGGA